CGTTCGGATTTAGATCACATTAAAAAAAAAAAAAAAAAAGTGTGGCAGTGTTCTAATCTGGTTTCCTACGTTTTTTTTCTGGGGGAAAAAACAAGCTTTGAACATTAATCCTGAAAAAAAGGAACTTGTTTAAAACAGGTCTGGATGTTTGAACTTATATGAGCGACCCATTTACAAATCCGAATCAGTTCTAAAAATCTCTTGCTATTTGTATTTTATGTTTTAACCAAAGATCTATATATCTACAATGACCGAATCCGAATGGTACAGATGTTTGCCTGGATAAAATGATGCATTCATATACTATGTTTCTTTTATTAAAAATGGACAAACCGTATGAATAAGACTAAATGACCATTTTAATGTACATTTAGTAAAACAACTTCACAATATTCATTAATTTTAACATGGGAAGAGAAAAACATGGCAAATAGAGAAAAGCCCCTCAGTGTCTCAATACATAAAAACCAAATTTTTTGGCTTAACTGATTAAGTCATTTTGTCTGGTGTAAGTAAAAAAGAAACAACTATGTATAGTCGTCAAGATTTAGTGCTTAACCATATAAACTCATTAAGTAAAAAAAAAATGCTCCAAAGAAAGCTTTAGGTTACGTTTGTTACACAAGAGGGCATTCACGTCTTTTGCATAAATAAAATATGGATCGTGCCAGGTCCCACCTTTTTAGTTGGGACTAAAAATTTACAGTTTTTGTCTTATTAACATCGGTGAGTCTCAGTCCAACACACAAAACATAGTACAACTTGTTATGTGCTGTGTAACAAATGGGCCTTCAAAAACATCAAGGTGATTCATAAACATTTGTTCATTTTAGTTGTTTTAGCCTTTAGGAAACACATGATGAGATTATGCAATGAATGTTTTGTGATGCCACCAAAATTCTTAAATCAATAACAAGCAGTAGAAAAATCGTGATCCAATGTGGTTGAAGCTGTTGTCACCGAGGGAGTCCAAAGTCTAGAGAAAAGCCAGAAAAAAAAAGATGGAATTAATTGCTACTCTTTAGTATAAGTTCAAGAAATCAAAGAGATCAACCACAAAACAAGCAATACGTTTAATAGATTTTTGGATCTCGTTACATTTTTTTTACCCATAATAGCAATGTGCTTTGCATTTCTTTTACCCATAAATTGACAATAACAATATGTGATGTGAAACTTGAAAATTGTACTTTATTGTTAACCTATTTACATTTCTTTACACATAACAGTTGCATACTTACCATTCCTTACCCATAATAGCATTGTACTTACATTTCTTTACCAATAATAGTAAATTGCATCATGATACTTGTAATTATTTTACAAATTTCAGGTTAATCCGTTAATTATTGCTTTTATTGGTAAAAATATAAGTATGTTGTTATTATGTGTAAAAAATATATATGTTGTTATGGGTAAAAAGTAAAATAGATGGTCGAGTAAAGTATGTTGCTATGGCTGCTAAATTTACTTATCTTAGACCCCTAGATCTAATATGGAATTTCCAAACCCACAAGAAGCAATAGTCATCAAGCAGGAAGCTCATAGATAATGCATTCAATTTCTAGCTGCTCTTATGATTTTTTGCCTGAATATTGGATAGTTCATTGTTCATAGCAAACAAGCGATTGTTGATCCGCAATAACACGAGTTTAAATTATAATGCAAAACGTAAAGAATTCAATTAAAGATGACATACCTTGAGAAAGCCAGCTCCAGCAGGTGGAATCAACAGCAATATTTGACCTAAGACGAGCAGATGCAATTGCACTGTGAAGAGGCAGCATCGACTCAACAGTTCCCAATGCCGCAACAATCCTGAAGAAGACGGAAAATCAAAACGATTATAGTCAAATTCAAATCGCTATCAATGGAAGTTCAACTGGTTGTATGTGTTATTGAAGTATTAACCTTGAAGCTGCGCGAGGGACGGTTCTTGTTGATGAATGGAATGGAGAAACGGGTACGGATTTGGGGGTTAGGGTTCTCGAAATCAGATTTGATCTAGCTGCAATTGTTCTCGCACCAGAGACGATCGCTGATGAAGCCATCTTTTCACTTAATCCACTGTTGTATAAACCCTAACTCTGGACCCTTGTAGGTATGGGTGAGCATTTGGACCAGATCGGACCGGACCAGACCGGACCGGCTTTTGGACCGGACCGGCTCTTGGACCGGACCGGTTATGGAGAATTTTGTGGACCATGGACCGGACCGGATGAGTCGTGTCCGGGTCCGGGTTTTCCGGTTTTTGGACCCGTTTAAACCGGTACAACTTTAATGACATAGAGTATAAGTAATCTACATTGATGTATAATATTATAACTTGCAAAATTAATACGATTCCGTTTCATGCATAACTAATCTAGATTGATGTATAATATTATAACTTGCAATTTGCAAAAATTAATTTTCCAAACAAAAGCAACTAAATATTGGAAAAAACCGAAGGTCAATCTGATTTAAAACGAATGAGTTATGGGTGTTTAAAAAATGTCACAGATTACAAAATCTTACTGAAAAGCTGAATTTTTTCAGCTTTGATAGCTCTATTTTGAAGGATTGTAACTCAGTGAATATAATACCAAAATAAACAAAATTATAGTCTAAATTCATCTACAAACTGTAAACTAAATGTTGGAAAAAACCGCAGGTCAATCCGACTTAAAACGAATTAGTTATGGGTGTTTAAAAAACGTCACAGATTACAAAATCTTGCTGAAAAGCTGAATTTTTTCAGCTTTGATAGCTCTAATTTGAAGGATTATAACTCAGTGAATACAATACCAAAATAAACAAAATTATAGTCTAAATTCATCTACAAACTGTAAACTAAATGTTGGAAAAAAACGCAGGTCAATCCAACTTAAAACGAATCAGTTATGGGTGTTTAAAAAACGTTACAGATTACAAAATCTTGCTGAAAAGCTGAATTTTTTCAGCTTTGATAGCTCTACTTTGAAGGATTGTAACTCAGTGAATATATAATACCAAAATAAACAAAATTATAGTCTAAATTCATCTACAAATTGTAAACTAAATGTTGGAAAAAACCGCATGTCAATCCGACTTAAAACGAATGAGTTATGGGTGTTTAAAAAACGTCACAGAAATCTTAAACATGTCCAACCTGTTCTAAACCCGGTAAAAACCGGACCGAACCGGGAAAAAAACCAGACCGGACCGGATAGAAATCTTAGAACCGAGAACCGGCCTGGGGGTCCAAAAAAACGGTCCGGTCCGGTCCACCGGTCCAAATGCTCACCCCTACTTGTAACCCCTACTTGTAGGAGTGGTGGAGGCATACCGCTTGTATTGGAAGCAATTTTTGTTGTACTTTCTTGTTTGGGATATGATCGGATTACATTAATTAGAGGATGCGGTATGTGTACAAGAAACGACATTATGGTTGACGTGTAGGGGCTCAACGGCGTCTTAACAAAATGAGCACCGCCCCTCTTTTTCGTTGTATCTCGTTGTGTTGCTTCTTGTTGTCATCGTGACTGGATGAAACGAGAAAAAAGACGCCTCCGTTTGGTTTGAAACATTAGACCGTTTGATAACGGTCAAAATAAAATAATTTTTTTTTCTATAAATACAACATATTAACCCATTTTTTACACCTTTCTCTTCATCTCTTTATATTTTATACAATCTTATACTTTCTACAACAAAAAAAAAGGATCAAAACCCAAACACCCCTCAATCAAATTAAGAAGACGTATTTTGGTTAATTAGGATTAGCAATAAAATGTTATGGTTTTAGGTTTAATTTAAATGTTATTTTGGTCAACTACGACTAAAAAAAATGTTATCTTTTAAAATTAATGTTTTTTATCGTAATCTTAATTTTAGTTTTTAAAAATTATGTCTTTTTTTTAGTTTTTTATAATATTATGTTTTATAAAAATATATTTGTTTTATTAATTAAAAAAGCATGAAAAAGAAAAAAATCAAAAAGAAATATATGACATGGAAAATATTGGTGTTAAATTTAAAGAATTTAACACAAATCTTGTAGATTTTTTTTTTTAATATTCAAAGAATTTTTTTTATTCCAAATGTTACACTTCAAAATGTTTAGTTTCATCGTTTTTCAATAGAATATCTATTTTTATAAACTAATATCGTATATAGTTTAAATTACTATGTTTGTTTAACTTTTTGTTAAATTTAAGTAAAAAAAACGATTTTTTTCATCGAAATTCCGGAATTGTTCATATTGTAGAGTTTTTTTTTTTTAATATTCAAAGAATTTTTTTTATTCCAAATGTTACACTTCAAAATGTTTAGTGTCATCGTTTTTCAATAGAATATCTATTTTTATAAACTAATATCGTATATAGTTTAAATTATTATGTTTGTTTAACTTTTTGTTAAATTTAAGTAAAAAAAACGATTTTTTTCATCGAAATTTCGGAATTGTTCTTGAAATTCTGGAGTTTTTTTTTCTTTTTTTTTTTTCCTGAAATCCAAAATTTTAGTTTAGAATCTGAAATGTTGGTCCAGAATCCGGAATGTTGGTTTGGAGTCAGTCAAAAAAATGCATTTTTTTTTTCTTTTGTCTGCAATGTTTATTCCAAACCAAATTGTTATTTTTGCTAAAAAAAAATTGTTAGTTTCTTAAAAACACATTAAACAATGGTTAGATTACTTATTTTCCTTTGTTTAAAAGCTTATATCAGGATGTAACAATTAATCCTTGATAGAAGACAAGATGTCTAACTATTTCAATCCAATATCACACAATCTTCTAGATTACTAGATATTCACAAGTTTTTTAATCATTAAACATCTCATTCAAAATAGCAAGATTTTTTTTAAGCAATGTTTAACCTACACTCAAATTACTCTTAATTCCAAATATCTACTAACCGTAAACCAAATATTAAAGTATTAATAGTTAATTCATCATTCATGTGTCCAAAAAACTGTGAGAATTATAATACTGTTTTTGTTTAGACCGTTTTTCCGGTAGTCATATTAAAACCGGTATTTAGCGTTGTTATTGGGGAGAGAAAAAGACCGGCCTTTTGGCAAGCAAGAAACGCGAAGCTCGTCTTCCTGAATAAGCTCAGAGAAATGGCAGCCATTTTAGCTCGCAAGTCTATGTCCGCTATTCGCTATCGCCATCTCGTAAGCTCACCTGCTCTCTTCCCCTCGAGTGTAATTAAGCAATCTGTCAGAACATCACTTGAGATCAAGTAATCTGAATATGTTAGGGTTTCATGGTCATTGTACATAATGGAGAATGTATCATTAAATCGATGCCATTCAGAATGATCCGAAAATGTTGGATCATGGATGGTTTTAGTGTGATATGAAATTGATTAGAAGGTCAAATACTTATATCCAAAGGAATGCATATGGTTTTTCTATAAATCGAATCCATATGCTACATATATTTCCTTCTGTGACCTAATTGGATGTTGTAGACATGTGCGTATTGGTAGTATGGGCTTATGGCTGAGGTATTTGTGAAAAAAAGAAGAAGGAATTTTTGACTTTAGAAGTCAATTCTGCAAATTTTTAACTTTAAGATTCATATAGATTCTAAAACCTGACAAGAACAATTCGATAACTTTCTAAACAATCTCATGATGATTCCATTTATGCCAGGCTGCAGTGGGACAAACCTTGCAGGTTCCTAATATCCATGGGACAATTTTTGGTGCACGTTCCTTTGCAACCAAACATTCATTTTCCACTAAGAAAGGCAAGCTTTCAAGTTTCTCTCTTATATGGTCATGTTCACATTGTATAAATCATGTGTTCAAGCATTATGTCATGTTCATGAGCACAAAACATAACTCCTCAAATATTTTTAAATATCAGTTATCCACACAACACTTAAATGTGAAAAAAAGAAACAGGGCCTTATTGATCATTTCTTTTTCGTGTATATAGTTCATTCCATGTTTAAATATCTTTATAAGCCTCCATTGATGTAAGAAAAACTCATCTCAAAAAGAACTAAAAGTCCTCCTTACAATCACTGATCATGACATTGATTATGCATCAACTATAGATCCCTCATGTATATGATTGACTTCTAATATCTAATCCTTTTCATCCTTTAAATATATTTCAATTTTTTTTTCACATATCCAAATTAGACTTCACTTGACTTTCTTCATGCCCGATCACAGATGATGAAGAAAGAGAGAAGCTTGCAAGAGAGATCTCAAAAGACTGGAGTTCTGGTGAAACTTTTGTCATTTTATGATCTTTTAATCCATATTATATTACAATCAAATAATTAATACACAAATCTTCTTATTTATCACATACAGTTTTTGAGCGAAGCATTAATATATTATTTCTAACTGAACTGGTTCGAGGGCTGTCTCTGACACTCAAATACTTCTTCGAACCAAAAGTGACTGTAAGTATTTCATATCATTTATCCAAAAAAAGATATACAAATTCCTTAAATATAATACAATTTCAAATTTCATACAGATCAATTATCCATTTGAAAAGGGTCCTTTAAGTCCTCGTTTTCGAGGAGAGCATGCCCTTAGACGCTATCCAACTGGAGAGGAACGTTGTATTGCCTGTAAACTTTGTGAAGCTGTAAGGTTCACTTTCATTACCATAGGAGTCTATTGTATTTATATTGAGTAAGTTACATTTCTGATCCCTGAATATAGCTGATTTTTTTTAGTTTTGGTCTTAAAAAAGTTTTCTCTTGTGATTTTGGTCCTTATTGAGGTTTTTGTAACGTTTTTGGCTCCTATTCCAAGGAACAGGGACCAAAAATGTTACAAGAACCTCAAATAAGGACCAAAATTGCATGAGAACTTTTTGGGACCAAAGTTGCAAAAATCAGCTATATTTAGGGACCAAAAATGTAATATCTTCATTTATATATGTTTGTTTCTGCATCTGATGATTGCACAATGTGTATCAGATATGTCCAGCTCAAGCTATCACTATTGAAGCTGAGGAACGAGAGGATGGCAGCCGTAGAACAACTAGGTGTGTGTGTGTGTGTGTGTGTAAATATGTATGTATATGTATGTATGTAATGGTTTGGGGTGACAGGTATGACATTGACATGACAAAGTGCATATATTGTGGATTTTGCCAAGAAGCATGCCCTGTTGATGCAATTGTAGAAGGGCCCAACTTTGAGTTTGCTACTGAGACTCATGAGGTTAGTGGAAACCGAGTAGACTACTACTCTATTTATATTAATATTTGTTTTGACAAAATGAGATTCACGTGTTTTTTTTGTTTTTGTAGGAACTGCTTTATGACAAGGAGAAGTTGCTTGAAAATGGCGACAGGTGGGAAACTGAGATTGCTGAGAATCTTAGATCTGAGAGCCTCTATCGCTAAATCAGTTTCCTGTTGTCATATTTTCTCCCTCAACGCATACAGTGAGCATGTGATGAATAAAGTTAGATGCTCTTCTGGCCATTCTCGGGTTTTCTTGATTTATTGTGTCGCGACCCTTTTGCCCCTAAGTATAAATAGGTGTTGGTTGTATTGGTTTTACCACACCCTTGAAAACGCTTTTGTAATCTCTCAATATCGGTTATTTTTTGCAATCCCGTTAATTTGTATTGTTTAGTTCTCTTCTCAAATCTCTGGATACATTCACAGTCTATTCTCAAATTTGTCCGGTATACTTGTGATATTTCATATTTCCATACTCTTGATTATTCAATTTTTTTCGTATTTAAAAGAGTGACATCTATTGTAAATGTATCACACTCTTCCGCAACCAATGTAACCAAGAAATTTGGTAATTTCTTAAAAGAACAAAGAATACTGCATTGGTATTGACCCGAGTCAGAGCAACAATGGTCTTGCAATGGGTTGTTTGGACATATAGGGCCGAATTGGTATGTAAATGGATGACAAAGTGTATCTAAGAAAGCTTGTTATTCGACCACTTTGACAAGTCATGTTTAACGAAGCTAATCCAAACAACCCTTGAGCTGTGTTGTTGTCATATAAGTCGTTCTACCCTTAAAATAAATGCAATTAAAATGTAGAACATTTTGTGGAGTTGTCTCCCGTTATGAACTCAACTGTAAATGCTAGCAGCGTAGAAGTTTTAGTTGAAAACATAGCCTAAATAAAATAAATAAATAAATCTACCTATAATTTTATAAGATTAGTCGACTGTTATTCAACCAAATATGGTTCAAACAATATTACAATATATGACCTTACAAGGGCTTGAACATGATCTACCGACGACTGTAATGACGATAGAATTAAACTTTATACTAATACTTTACATGTAAATGAAGCTAGTAAACAGCTAAAACCTAATAGCAAATTAAGAAATTATATTGGAACTATTTTTTAGCACATTTGCCCGGACAAATTTAGAAATTTATGTATTTTGCATTGACGAAATCAAAAAATGAACTATAATTTCTTATTGTAGCTGTCATAAATGGATATTCTAATAATATTTTGTTGCATTTTATTGTTTGAATTTTTTGTTCAATTTACTCTTCAAGCGAAACTATATCTTGTGCAAATGCTTACAAATTTCTAAATTATTTTATTAAAATATAGATTGTCTAATAATATTATTTTCATATGTTCATCCTACTTTTCAGTTTTCATATATTTCATTATGCGGGTCACTAATAAAAAGATCGTGTGGTTAGAAGTTATGTAATTCAGCTTCTAATTTGACATCATTTACCATATTCATTTCACAATTCACAATTCACAGTTACAACTTACAAACCAAAACTTTCAAACTTTTTGCTCAAAAACCCATCATCTACGTTCTACAACTACAATTATCTCTATTATCTCTATACATCATCAGACCCACCATATGTAAAAGTAAAACATCATCCCTTTAATCCATCAAATCCTACGAATTTTCATTATCAAAAAATGAAGATAAATTCATTCCATTTCCATTCCAGTCCTCATTCACTATCTCTTCATCTTCCACATCCAACGGTTCTGGGAACACATCCTTTGAGTTTGAGTGCCTTCTAATCGACAAACACCGACCCCGCCGGGACCCACTTCCCCTGCCTCCTTCACCACCTCCCGCCACATCACCCGATCTAAACCGCCAGCTGGCATTCCCATTCACAGAACGCCTACACGAATCCACTCTAACTCTACCTAACCTCTTCTGTTCTTCCACTACAATTTTCAAAGGATTTTCCAAAGCTTTCAGTACAAATCTCATAACAGGTCTTCTAGAAGGTTTCGGATGAAGACAAGATTTAGCAATAACAGCCATAACCCATACTTCTTTTAGCAAATCCTCATCTACTATCAATGTTGGATCCATTATGTTTGTCACAAGTTCTTTATTGTATACACTGATATATGGAATCATATGTTTCAATAAGTTTTTTGTGATTGAATCACTTGATGCACTAATTCCGATTTTGCCCGTTACAAGCTCCATCAATACCTTTCCAAAACAGTAAACATCGTATGCACATGTCGCCCTTACACCTTCTTCAGATGTCCTAAACAAATGCAAGAAAAAAAATTTCTGTTAAAAGTTAAAACCCTCCATTTTTTTTATCATTAAAATCAAAGTATGTTTAATTAGAAATTTACTTACTTATGTAATGGTAGAAATCTTGTGATCCTGTTTGAATGGCTATTGTCTTCTTGGATACAAGCCTTGCTTAAGCTTCCTAATCGCACTTCATATTTATCATCAAGGAGTATACTGCTAGCTTGAATGTCTCTTCAAGTAACAAAAATAAATAAAGTTAGGAATTAATGTTAAAAAAGGTATGGAATGCAAATAAAGATAAGATTCACAATTTAGAAAATTACTAAAGGAAGGATCTTTAGAATACCTGTGAACAAGGGGTGGAACACATTCATGATGCAGATAAGAAAGAATTTCAGCAGCTCCAATTGCAATTTTTAACCTTGTAATCCAATCCAATGACTTTAATCTATCATTATCCAGACTATTTTTCATGTACAAAGAACTTGACAAATCCCCTTTTGGCATATATTTGTAAACTATAAACTTTTCCTTATCTTTCTCCAAACAATGTCCCAATAGAGGAACTAATCGTGGATGAGAAACCTTACTAAAGAAATCCAACTCCACCATACAACTCTTCTTTCCAGAATGCACATCAAATCTTTTAACAATTATATTCACCCCATTCTCCAAAATACCCTTGAAAATGTCACAACAATGCCCAGTTTTTATAAGATTTGCATCATTAAACTCACTAGTGGCCAAAAGAATCTTCTCATAAGCAATCACTTCTCCAACTCCCGACAGATTCAAACCACAAGAATTTACCGAAACGCCCCCCGAACCATTTCCTATTTGATTCATTTTCCTTTTCTTCCAGCATAGAATCATGGGAATCATGAAAATCACAAAGGGTATAATGAGACCAATACAACCCAATATAATTGCTGATATAAGCTTTTTGTGGTTGGGTTTATGGTCATGTATGGGATTATGGGGTAATGTGCCATTTGGAAGTCCAAAGTTATGGAAGGGTAATCCCGTCATAGAATAAAAAGCTGCACATTCTTTCAGAGTCCTTTGACTTGACCAATTACGAAAGCAGTTTTTATCTAAAGAAGCAATATCACGTGCATAATATGGTATTCTTCCTTGCAAGTAATTGTAACATAGATCGATGTAACTAACCCTACTAAGTATAGATGTCAATATCCCATAAAACATATTATGAGAGAGATTGAAAACTGCCACGGTGACATTAGGGTTCAAGCTACCATTTGGTAGAGATCCCATAAATTTATTATCAGATGCATCAAGAAAAGTCAAACCAGGTAGTGAACATAATGCATCTGGAAGATCACCTGTGAAGTTGTTGTTGCGAATCATCATTCTCTTTAAATTCTTCAAATTTCCAAATTCTGAGGGAACAGTCCCAGAAAGCGAATTTGAACTCAGATCAATGACAATCAAACTAGCAAGATTACTGAGTTGAGTGGGGATTGAACCAGTAAGTGAGTTTCTGGATAGATCAAGAACTGAAAGCTGTGATAACAGACTCAAAGTAGATGGAATTGTACCATTAAGAGTGTTACTAGATAAATACAATTCACTAAGATTAGACAAATTGCCGATACTGGAAGGAATAGCACCAGAGATTTCACAAGAACTAAGATCAAGAAACTTAAGGGTTTGAAGATGAAGCCCTAACCAATTCGGTATTGAACCTGGAAGTGAGAATCCTGAGGCATTAAACGAAATCAATTTGGTGAAATTGGCAAGAGCATCAACTGAAAATTTAGGGTTTCGACTTCCAAGTGGGGTTCTCTTAAACCCTGAAATGTTGATCCCAACAACATGACCACCTTGACATAGAAGACCGATCCAAGTTAAGCATGGGTCGGGTTTTATAGGCCATTCTATGGCTCTTAAACCTAATGATGCTCTGAGTTGGAGCAGAGCAGCCCGTTCTGCGGTTGAATTCAGCGGGAGAGACTGGTGTTGCTGTTGAAATGTACTTCGAAAGAACAAGAAGAACAGTAGAAGCAAATTACACTTCATGATTATGATCTCAACTGAACAAGCAATTGTTTGTTCATGCACATTAACCTTTTTCTTGAATGCAATACACGCATAAACGGTAAAATTGAGTAGCGAAATTAGCGATTCTCCATGATTATACTCCCAAACACATTGCTGTTACCTTGAATTATTCCCAAACACATTGCTCTTACCTTGAATTATTCGAAATACGATTTGAATCTTCGATTCTGCTGGGAAGATTGGAAGAACCAACAATCGCTGTTTCTATGGTCGACAAAAATGAAAGTTTCACACTCGGAGTTTTAGCGAAGAGAGAAAAGAAAAATGAAAGTTTTACGCTTCCGAGTTTGGGTTATTTCCATGATCCTATATTTTGACTTTTTTTTTTTTTTAGACCTAAAACTTTTTTCTTTTCCGAAAAAGATCCAACTTTTACTTGTTACTTGTTATTTTAGACACCAAAAAGGAAATTAAGTATTTTTATTTCATAAAAGACCCTACATTTTATACTTTTTTCCAGTTTAGACCTAAAATGTTTTTTTATTTCAAGACTAGTTGTATAAAAAACATGATTATATCCTTTTAGTTTAAATATAAACATCGATTTAAACAATGTAATTATTATGCATACATTTATTTATGATTGGACAATTCTTTGTCCACGTATATTTATAAAACAAAAAAAAATGTAGTTGTAAAAGTTATTTCTTCACTACACCAAGTTCATGTAGCTTAATTTCGTCAAGCATAAAAAACATAATTATATTTTTTTAGTTTAAATAATAGACAACGATTTAACTTTTGCATCTTTTGGAATCATATTGATTTACGCATGAAACATTTTTTTAAACCATTACACATACAATAAAATTGTATAGTATAATTTTTTTTCACGAGTGTAATATAAATAATAACAAAGTGTTTTGTCTACATTTGATAAAATTTACAGTTTC